TTTAACATGGTTAGAAAGGCTTAACTCCTTAAAATCATTTATTTTCCCTAAACTTTTGTATCTATTCCGCACCCTTCCATTGCCTATCCCTCCATCGCAGCTAAATCACTGGCAATCAATATGGAACAAATTTATATGGAGTTCAACCGGGCCACGTGTAGCATTTCACACGATGAACAGGTCTGTAAAACTAGGGGGGCTAGCACTCCCGAATATTAAATCCTACTACGAGGCAACAATCTTATCTACCCTTACGAGGATTTTAAATTCACACCCTCAACCGGAATGGGTTAAGTTAGAAGAACATTATCTGAACAAAAAATGTTTTCAGTCAGTACTATGGAATGCTACGACTGAAAACTCATTCAACATCAAATCCCATCCCTTTTTATACCCACTATTCAGATTGTGGAGACTGAAAAGAAAAAAGTTAGCCCCTGAAATATCTCCAACTTCTATATTACTTGGCCAAACTTGGTTTGGCCCCACTAACACCGTCCTAATGTTTAAACAGTGGGATAACTTCCACCTTACTAAAATATATGATTTAACCAACAAAGGAGCTTTACTAACCAAACCAAGGCTAGAAAGAAAATTTAACACTCATTTAACGTGGTTCAATTATCTTCAACTACAACACCTTTTTGCAAACCCAAGAATCATAGAATCCTGTAAGAGACCGTTGACAAACTTTGAAAAATTATTAATAACCTCAAATGGAAGCCCTAGAGGTCTAATTTCAAAGTTATATAACATTCTCAATGACCCCACACCATATAAACCACCAGCTTATACCAAAAAATGGGAAATCGATCTTAAACACCCTCTATCTGAGGAATTTTGGCATTCAGTATGGACATCGTATGCCTGTACTAACAAAGCAATCAATGTACAACAACAAAATTTTAAAATTTTAGCACACTGGTATACGACCCCGGTAAGACTGAACAAAATAAGTAAATCCATCTCTCCATATTGCTGGAGACAATGCGGTATGATTGGCACATATATGCATTGTTGGTGGGACTGCCCCAAGATACATTCTTTCTGGCACTTTATATTAACAGAAATTAAATTGATTACGGGGGATAACATTCCCATCAAGCCAGAAATTATCCTCCTAAATTATTGGAACGAAATCACAATCTCGCAAAGCAGAAAAGAATTACTTACCTTACTCCTTTCGGCAGCTAAAACGTCTATAGCTTCATCTTGGAATAGTCATTCCCCACCAACACTACAATCCTGGTTTTCGAATATCTGGAATCACTTAATAATGGACAAGATAACGGATAAATTGGATTCTCACCTCCCGACTTACAAATATGATGCCTTCTGTGGCAGATGGTACCCAATTCTTGAGAAACTGGAGTACATTTTGGGTCAGATAACCAGAACTCAACAAGACCATTATTATACCTTTATCCGAAAAGACTGGGTTCTGTAAACGATATGTAACATGTTTAATATAACTATTTCAGAAAAAAAAATATTTTCTTTATCTTTGATAAGACTAGCAAGCAGTGATTTCGCTATATGTATTATTACTGTTATTGATGGTCTAGTGTATCAATAGTTGATTGTTCATGTTATGTTTTCGTGATTGTTCAATAAATATTTTTTAAAAAAAGATAATGATATTTGTTTGCTAATGATAAGAGAGAGAAAAAGAGATGGAAAGAAAGAATGAAAGAGGTGGAAAGAAAGAAACAAAGAAAGCAAATAGATGGGAGGGAGGGGGAAGGAAAGAAGAGGAGGAGGGAAGGAAGGAAGGAAGGAGAAAAAGTATGCCTCCCTTCGCTTCCCCAGCTGCCCTACTGGGAGCCGCACAGTTTGTGTGAAAAAGCTGCATGTGGCTCCCAAGCAACAGTTTGGCCACCCATGCTCTAGAACGAGGGAAAAGCTCTATAATTTTACCATAAAGTTTTGCCCAAATCCTATAGTCTTTCATTGATGTCACAAGGTTGCCAACAGTATGAAACCATTTCCCCCTGTCCATGTGCCCCTTCCTCTGCTGTTTGCCATCGGCTGGCAACCCTACTTTACTAAATGATTGCACAGATATAAGGGGGAAGGTATACCTCTGCAACTAAAGGGGTTAGAGACCTACTTTTAAAAAAATGAAATCTGAGAATTCAGAGGAACCTGTTACACATATTGTTATGATGTCATATTGATGTAATGATATTCATATTCTAATTAGAAAAACAGTGGTGGTGCTGGGGGGGGATGAACAGTGCCAGAGGAGTGGGGCAGGTAAACTAAGGGGAAAGCTGCTGTGTGGAAGCCATGTTGCCTCTGTGCTGTACTGGCATTTGTAACAAGAAAAGGGAAACTGCAGTGCCTGTCTCTGTGTAGAAAACACCTCTATCAGACAAACCCTCGTATTTCCAGTAATGTTTGAAGTACATTCTCACCTCTCTGAAAATATGCCTCCAGAAGGAAACTATTATTGCTCAGTGCTTTTATTGCAGCGTGAAATGGCCTAACTTAGCTATTGCCTTCTAGAAATAGTGTTGTGGCAAGTTTTACAAGGCTGAGTTTTCGTCAGTTTGAATACATTTATTGAATTATGTTTGCTTAGTACATTGTTGACATGATACTTCTACAAACATAGTAGGTACTGGCAAAAATTGTATGCACAATTCTCTAGAAGTAAACTCCGTTCATCAAAATAGGACTCCTGAGAAAGCTTGTGTAAAATTACACTGTGTAATATTTTATGGAATGATAAACTTTGAACATTACCTAAACAGATTTTTCTGTTTTATGTATGAAAGCAGTTGACAAGGTAAGAGTTCTGGTTCTGTAGTTTTACTTTCTTGCCTTTTTGTCAGATTGCCACAGCAGGAAAAGGCCTCAATTTTGAAATTTTGTTTCTCTGTGAAATGAACTTCTCTAATCTTAAATGCTTTTTACGTATTTTCAATTGGACCTAAAATTATATATTTTAAGCAAGTAGGTATTAGTGCATTAATAATTTAGGGCATTCTCTCCACTCTGCATTTCAAGAGAGCTGAACTTGGTGATATTTTTATTTTGTGGAGATACTGCTAATAAATAACTCTTTAAAGTACTATTTTCCAGAGGAAGTTTGAAGTATTATTTCTCTGTCACTTCAAAACTAGAAAAATAGTTGATACTATCATTAATTGAGACTGTCAGTATCTAGGGTTTGTCCACTAATAAAAAACTTCTTAATGTATATATTAGGGATCAATTTTCCTGAGGAATTTCACCTTCTGACTTCTTTATGTTCTTTAATTTTGACTTATTTACTTGTTGACAAGTAATTAAAGGGCACAGGGGCAGAGTGGCAAACAAGGAACAGAGTGGTAAACAAAGAACAGACTATTCTTTTTTTATTGCCTCAAAAAACTATACTTAAGTGACTGCATAACACAGTGAGAGAATAAAACTTTAGTAAAGGAGACATTTGTCAACACTCTCTTTTAAGAGGCATGGGAAGGTGTGGCGTCCTCTCTTTTGGGAGGATTGGTTTTCCCTTTAAATGTGCTCTTTGCTTTATTAAACTGGGTAGATTTGCTACCACCAGGAATTTAAGGATTTCCAAACCTTCCCTCTCTTTTTCTTTCTGGTAAAGTAACCCAGGGTCTAGGCTTTTCAGGGATCTTTGTGGTCCTGAGGAAGGACTGAATTCAATTCTGGGATAACTTAAACAAAATATGATTAATTGAACTAAGAACAAAATATGAGGTTGGTTATTCTGTAACTGTTTAGGATAAAGGGACTTGTAAATATGTTGTTCAAATGTATCACACACACAGCATTTTTTCCTTTCCTTTTTGTTTGTTTTGACATTCAGTTCCAACATTAACAGGATTCACTCTTTTCTTTAGTCAGCCACTCAGGCTAAGGACATATATACTCCCCTCTTTACGATCTCACACAGAACTATATTAACCCTCACTGGCTGAACAATTCCAACTGCCTTTCATAACTAACTTTCATAACTGACTAACTGACACTCACACAGATCCACTTTAAAAACTCCTCCCACACTCTCTCATCCTCCAGTCCCAGCACACTCATCTCTCCCAATCACTCTACTCTGCATTCACTGCACTGCAACCAAACATTTAAAGAGACACACACACTCTTAAAACAAGGAATCGTTACAGAAGGCATTAGATATTCTCACAAAGATGAGAAAAGGGCTGGGGCCACACACACTAAATAATCCACTTTCAGGGAACTTTCCAACTGGATTTTACTTGTGTGAACTGGCAAAATCCAGTTGGAAAGTACATTGAAAGTGGATTATTTAGTATGTGTGACTGCATATGAGTCACAAATAATCAGGGAAGGAAAGAAGTCACAGTTGGCCTACTGGTTTTATTTTGGATTAGTCTCACATGATCTGTATACATAAAAATTATTCTGTTAAACTGTTTTGCCATAGCAAACCTATATTGCAGATTCCTGGTTGATCTCCAGCTTTCAGTGAACATTAGGAATACTATAGCCCTTTAAATGTTATTCCAGCTGCATGGAAGCAACTTCTCCATAACGGGCTTCCATGTGGCTGAGGTAAAGTTTAAATGACTCAGTCCTATAGGCAAGGGCTGCTGATGTGAGTCTTTCCTCATGCAATTATGGTCTTATTTTTATACATCATTATGATCACATATGATATCAATAAATGTGTTTGTTTAATCCATAGCAAGTTAATGTTTTTGTAGTTATCTGTGTATAATTTCCTTTGCTTCCTAGGGGTAATATAGTACCTTTTCAAAAATAAATGTTGCAAGCCACACCTTAGTCTAATATATTTTTCTTCTGGATATTTTCTAGTCGCAGCAGCCCTTAAGTATATTTGAACTGGATATGCAGGTAGAAGTGTGTTTAAAGTTAAGGCAGTAATTGAATTTATAGTTGTTTTCATTTTCTTTGTTCATTGCTTTGGCTTCTTTATAGTGAGTTGAGATAAAGTAAAAAACAATACAACATTGAATCTAACAATAATTTTAAATATGCAGATATAGACAACAGTGGATATGTCAGTGATTATGAACTTCAAGACCTTTTCAAAGAAGCAAGCGTTCCTCTGCCTGGTTACAAAGTACGAGAAATTGTAGAAAAAATTATAGCTGTTACAGATAACAACAAGGATGGCAAAATCAACTTTGAAGAATTTGTATCGGTAAGTAAGAGAGCAATTCCAAACATGTCTACTCAGAATCCTACCCAGGTTTATGTGATGTGACTTGCTTCCAGGAAAGCTGAATACATATTTACTCAGAGTTAATTAGTTTAGTACTAGTGGGTTATAAATGAACTATGAGATCATTACTAAATTGTACTATTAAAAGCATATTGTGTTATATACTGTAGCTTTTACATAACACATTTCTACGTAACATTTTATGAAGATAATACATATCAGTAGATCAGGAACTTGAACAGTAAAAGAAAGGATTTTCCTGCCATATTTATAAATGAACTAGCCTGATACCCATGCTTCGCTACGGTATTTAAGTTCCATAAATCCAGTTATAATACTGATGATGTGAAGTTTGAAATGTAACATTTGTTGTAGGAATTCTAATGGAGAAGATTGTAGTGTAAAAAATGAAGTGAGACATATGTACTTTTTTTTCTCTACTGAAGGACCTCTCTGTAGACCACATTGGTGGTTCTGCCCTCAGGTGCTAGGATCACCAGGCTACTTGGTGAGCTCACTCTGGAGCAGGCAACATAGAACTGTCCATTTAAGAAGCAGTCGTCTGTTAAGTCAACTCCTCCCACCTTCCACAAAGTGATGGCCTCTCTACTTGTGTTCCTGGATTGGTTTGGTCATATGGAGACAGTGTTGTTCTGAGCACCTCAGGGTGATCTTGCTGGTACTTGGCCTGCACCGCTTAGTGCCCTGCAGGAGTACTATGTGCAAATGTCTTTGCTGCATTCATAAGTTGCCTCCTCCTTGTAGCATTGGTGTTTCTGGCTCAACGTTTGCCAGGAGCTTTCTTGGGGGCAGTAACAGGTGAGAGGTGTGAGTGGGAGTTGGTGTGAGGGAGTGGTGATATGGTGGACATTTCTTCAGGTTCATGAGGGAGGCATGCATCAAAATGGCTCCTAGAAAGATCCTTTATCATCTCCCCATGAACATTCATTAACTCAATTGCCATGCTGGCTTTTTTGAAAAATGTCTGTTCAGGAGTCTTGAATCGCTGATTTCTGTAACTGTCCTCAACTGTCTGCAGTCTCCTCTAACTGTGTTTTTACCTCAGAACATTGAGATCCACAGCTGAGCAGGCAGGTTTTACATCAGAACTCTGAGCTACACAATTGACGAATCGGAGGGGGGGGCGGCAGCCTGCCAGCCACATGGGAACCAATTGGGGGAACACATTTTGCCCCTTTTTTAAACCCTTAAGGGTCGTGTTTTTCAGAAATCTCTTTGTGGGGCCTTGACATCATGGTAGGAATGCACGCCTCTTATTTTTTGGTTTCTTGGTGCAGTAGTTTAGCCTGGCATTGAATTCGGGGGGAGGACATAACCCTCCCCCCCTCAAGTATTAAGCAAGTTCATATGAACCCTCACTGTGAGAACTTAAATAACCTAATAAAGGAAACCACTTTTCTACAAATTTGAGGTATATTTCCATAGTGGGTGGGAGTGTGGCTAAAACCATTGGTGAGGCTGGGCCAACAGCATTGCTAAGGTGATCGTGCTAGGGTGGTGTCCCTGATGGATTAAAGTACCCTGGCCCTGCTCTAGTGTAGGAGGGGGGAGGAGTATTAGAAGCCACTGTGGAAGCTGGGCCGGCAGGATCATTAAGGTGTTACTAAGGTGTTTTTTTTGGGGGGAGTTGGAGGTGGGGTGGCTCTGTATGTCAGAGAGGGTATACAGTCCAGTAAGATTGAGAGGGTAAGAGAATTGGATTCGCTTCTGAAAATACTATGGGTTGAAATAGTGAGCCCAAAAGGAAGCTTAACACTGGGAGTTCGTTATCACCACTCCAGTCTCTGGTTCCAGCTCCTGCCAAACTAGCAGTTCGAAAGCAAGAAATTGCAAGTAGATAAATAGGTACCACTTTAGTGGGAAGGTAACAGTGTTCCGTGCGCCTTGGCATTTAGTCATGCCGGCCACATGACCACGGAAATGTCTTCTGGCAGTGCTGGCTCTTTGGCTTGGAAACGGAGATGAGCACTGGCTTTCGAGCAAGGGAAACCTTTACCTTTACCTTACCAGATCAAAACAGAGGAGGATTATAAAATGATGAATGAATTAAAGATAGCAGCTGGACGAAATAACTGTGTCGTAATAGGTGATTTTAACTACCCACAGTCAATATGTGTTCAAGTTGGGAAAAAGAGATTGAGTTTCTAGACACTCTCAATGACTGTGCTATGGAACACAGAACCTACCAGGGGAGAGGCGATCCAGGATTTGGTCCTAAGTAACGCCCAAGACCTGGTGAGAGATGTAAAAGTGATTGCACCACTTGGAAACAGTGACCATAATGTTACTGAGTTTAACATTTGTATAAATAGGGAGTTGCCCCAAAAGACTGACACCACTACTTTTAACTTTAAAAGGGGTAACTTCTCTGATATGAGGGGGCATGTGAGAAAAAACTGAAAGGAAAAGTAGAAAAGGTCAAAACCATTGGGGAAGCTTGGAGACTATTTAAAACTACAATCCTAGAAGCTCAGAAAAAATATATACGGGTTAGGAAAGGCACAAATAGGTATAGAAAAAAGCCTGTATGGTTAACAAACAAAGTAATGGAAGCTGCAAAATGTAAGAATGATTCCTTTAAGCGGGGGAAAGCTAGTCTCAGTGAGGTTGATAAAAGGGAACACAGGCTGTGGCAAATAAAATGCAAGTCTGTGATAAGGCAGGCAAAAAGGGAATATGAGGAGCATATAGAAAAAACATAAAGACCAACAATAAAACTTTCTTCAAATACATTAGAAGCAGGAAACCAGCCAGGGAGGCAGTGGGGCCCTTGGATGACCTAGGGGTAAAAGGGGTACTGAAGGATGATAGGGAAATGGCTGAGAAGCTGAATACATTTTTTGCCTCTGTCTTCACTGTGGAAGATGAGAAGTGCTTGCCCACTCCAGAACCTCTGATTTCGGGAGGGGTTTTGAAAGACTTGAGTCAGATTGAGTTGACCAGAGAGGAGGTCCTACGACTGATAGACAACTTAAAAACTGATAAATCACTAGGCCCGGATGGCATACATCTTAGAGTTCTGAAATAACTCAGATGTGAACTTGTGGATCTCCTGACAAAAATATGTAATCTTTCATTAAAATCTACCTCCATTCCTGAGGACTGGAAGTTAGCTAATGTCACTCCCATCTTTAAAAAAGGTTCCAGAGGAGATCCTGGAAATTATAGGCAAGTCAGTCTGACATCGATACTGGGTACGTTGATGGAAACTGTTATTAAGGAAAGAATTAGTAGGCACATTGATGAACAAAAACTATTGAGGCAGATGCTTGGGTGGGGCAACAGTGGGAGGGCTTCTAGTGTCCTGGCCCCACTGAGAGGAAACAAAGATGGAGAACTAGAAATATTAGTTAGTTAGGCTGTTGTTTTTCTTTCCAATGTAGCCCTTTTTCTTATTTTATAGTAAACTTTTTCTTAGAAGCTAAACACACATGTGTCTGAAATTCCACTGCACTTTGTTTACTATGCTAAAAATCTAACAAGAATGCTCTCTCCTAAATTGCCATCTGCCTAATCTCAGAATCAGGCCACCTGAAAAAGGCCCTCAAAAAATGACTGTAGTTTTTGGGCCGGTTCATAAGAGAGTAGGCATGTTGGTATGTTGGTCCCAAACCATACAGGGCAGGGGTCCTCAAAGTGGCTGCCAAAGCTTAAGTTCAGTTGTACCCTGAAGATCCTTGTACTGTGGTGGCAGCTGCTGCCAAAGCAATGTTTTTTAAAAACCTGCATAGCAAATCAAATCTCCAATGGCCGATGGCCCCACCCTCCGTTTTATTTTGTTTTATTGGTATCAAATAACAGCTGACTTATGGCAAAAAAACAAGATCTGACAAGTTCAGACTAGGCTGGGGCTCCCCATACGACAAAATTATTTTCATTATTTATCATGAAATAAAATGAAAAAATAATAATGGCCAGAAAATAGATTAAGGTGGGCAGCTGTGTTGGTCTGAAGTAGCAGAACAAAGTTTGGTCTTAAAGGTGCCACTGGACCTAATGTTTGTATTCAGTAGCCATAAAAGAAACACAGAATGTATTGTATTTAATTTCGTAGATATAATACCAGTAAAAAAAATTTCAAATTCCAACACACTATTCCATCACGAAAGCCAGTGTGGTATAGCGCTTAAAGTGTTGGACTAGAATCTAGGACATCCTTGGAATGGAGCACTTATTTGATTAGCTGAAAGGGTTATTTCTTCTTAGGGAAAAGAAGAATAATTCCTGCCAGTAAAAAAGGGTTGTGCTCTGAGGAGAACTCAGGTCTGTGGTAAAGGGAATCAGCTTTGGCTACCTCAGGAGTTAGTGGAAAGCTACAATTTTCTGAAGGGAGAAACTAGATTTTCTAAGGGGAGAAATCTAGAAACTTTAAGAAAGAGGTATTCTCCAGGGAACTCTATTAAGATTCTGTATAATTGCTGAAATATACTAAGAAACGCATCTCTCATGGAAAAGAACTAGGAATCTCTGAAAAGAAGCTATAACACTCTCTTGTATGTTTTAAGTTTTCAGTTCTGTATGTATTATAAAGATTTACCTCAGAATTTCTAAGCCTTGACTTCTATATATATAACTTGTAGGGCATGTAGGGGAGCATCCCGGGGAGGTCCGCCTTGAGTTTGATGCCTCTAGCTTGCACAGCATCTGTTCTATACACTCCAGAACCGGTACCTGACATCTCCTCCAAAAGCACTTTCCTGGGATCACCTTCTTTTGGGGGAGGGCATAACTCAGACCCCCCCCCACAAATCCAATCTTCACTAAACCTGATGGGCAAGTAGAAGAGAGTCAGCTGGAGATGCCCTACAATTTCGGAGTCTCTAGGACTCTGGGGGCCACCCCAACACATCCTGAACTTTCAGAACCAATTGGGTTCAACATGTTCTGAACCCAAACTCAAACCTGAACTGAGTTTTCCTGGTTTGTGCCCATTTCTAAATGTTAGAAGCTGTCCTGGGTTCAGGTAGTTTGTCCTTCTGGTCGCTGTGGCCATACACAGCTACCATTTTTTCTCCTGAGCATTGATCTCTCTGATTGGGTGGGTTTGTGCCATTTATTGGAGGCAGAGCCGGCTCACCCGCTAGATGAACTTGTCATTCTCCTAGAGCGTGGGCCGGCCCTTAGGGCATCAAACTGCTCTCCTGCAGGGTGCTGGCGCTGAACTGTGCTTCCCCCCTCCATGCCCTCCCCACCAGGACCGCCACTGGTGGCTCTCCTGCAGAGCGCTGGCGACGGATTAGGAGGTGGCGGTGGAGGGCCAGGGAGCTGTGCTCTCCCTCCGGGCGCCATCTCGCAACTCGGCCCCCCGGCTCCAGCCAACATTGGTTCAGGCTCGGCCCATCGTCGCGCCTCCTCCTCACCCCACCGCCCCGTGCCCGGGATGTCCTTCCTGCAGCTGGCGCCAAACTGTGCCTCCCCACCTCCCTGCCGGGACTGCCACCGGTGGCTCTCCTGCAGGGCGCTGGTGGCGGCTGAGGAGGCGGTGGAGGAGGGCAGGGGACCTGTGCTCTCCCTCCGGGCGCCGTCTCGCTGCTCAGCCCTCCAGCTCTGGCCGACATCGGCTCGGGCTCACTTCGTCGTCATCGCCTCCTCCTTGCCCCACGCCCGGGATATCCTTCCCGCAGCTGGCACTGAACTGTGCCTCCCCCCCTACGTGCCCTCCCTGCCACCAGAACCGCCACTGGTGGCTCTCCTGCAGGGCGCTGGCGGCGGCAGTGGAGGAGGAGGGCCGGGGAGCTGCGCTCTCCCTCTGGGCACCATCTCGCTGCTCAGCCCCCCGGCTCCGGCTGACGTCAGCTTGGGTTCGTCCTGTCAGCGGTGCCTCCTCCTCGCCGCACAGCTGGGCTACCCACAGTACCTCAGCGCCAACCAGAGGGTGAGCCGGGAGGTGGGGGTAGTGGCCAGCGGCAGGGAGGCTGGGGGGAGCAGCTGCGGTGTGGCCCAGGGGGCGATCCTGCAGGTGGCTTACCGAGCCGGGCGCCTGGTGGTCCAAGACCCCTCCCCCCTCCCTGCCTTCTCCACACCAGACCCCCTTCTGGGGGGGCAAACGTTTTCCAGCACCCCCCCTCCCTGGTGAGCCTCCCAAGGTTTGTTCTTCGCGGCAATGGCAGCGCCCTCCCCCCCTCGGTTTGCAGGCCCCACCGGGAGGTTGGCATCGCCTGGGGGTGCTACAAGCTGGCTTCCCCTAGGGTGCAGAGACACCTTTGGCCAGCCCTGATGGGAGGCATGCTGCCCAGGAAGTCTTGTGCTGAATCACTAGCCAGCAGGGAGGTAGACTGTAGAATCAGGAAATACAGGTGAAGTCTTGGTGAATGGAACCAACACACTTCCCTCTTTCCAGACTTGGGGATTGCCTCTTTATATAGGTTTCAATAGGAGAGGATAGTGAGCAGAACTAGGGAGCAGTGGTGAAGAATTTCAAGTGACAGAACCTACACAGTTCTTCCCCTTAAAGAAAAGCAATAGATTTGTGGTATAGCCTAGAAAAAGATAAATGTAAAACTTTGGAAAACATTTCTACAGATAGGAATGGCTAGGATAATTAAATGGGATAATGAGAGAATATGCCATGTAGGCTGTAATTAGTAATATCTGGAAGGAAAGAGACCTAAATGGCTGCATAGCTGATTGGCTATGGCTATTATACAGTCTCTCTGTTGATAATATGATGTAAAATGTTCATACTCATTTGCATTTTTAACAAAAAGTATTGCTTCAGGGTAATTTGGGAAGATAGTATTTTCATATGTAAAGGTAAAAGGTAAAGGTTCCCTTGCTTGAAAGCCAGTTGAATCCGACTCTAGGGTTGCGGTGCTCATCTTCATTTCAAAGCCAAAGAGCCAGTGCTGTCCAAAGACGTTTCCGTGGTCATGTGGCCGGCATGATTAAACATCAAGGCGCACGGAACGCTGCTACATATGTTTCATATGTACTTTCTGAAAAATAAACTATTTTCTGTCTGATACTGAAAAGACTAGACTCCTGACTGTGTGATTAAAGCCAAGTATGCATAAATTTTTGTAGATACATATCCATACAGCCCTTCTGATGACCAGTTTGTTACCTTGACCTCACTACCTGCTCTGTGTATGATTTCTGAATGTGTGAAAAGCACATTGTTTTGTTCCAGGTTATTCAAGAATTAAAAAGTAATGATATTAGCAAATCATTCCGAAAATCAATAAACAAAAAAAAGGGAATTACTGCAATTGGAGGAACATCCCCAATTTCCAGTGAGGGGACCCAACACTCTTACTCAGGTAAATGATTTCCCTTTGTACAGAGAAAAGATTCATTCTTGTCAATGTCAAGCCAGCACTTACATGTCATACAAGAAAACCTATGAATCTCTGATATTTAAATGTTGGCCTGTTGGATTTTGTCAGGAATTCTCACTGCCTGGCAACCTGACATTTGGTGGAACTAGCAGTACAGATAAAACAACAGTTAAATGCAAAATTGTAGTTTTCTAAGTTTTAGTTTAGCTTGATTCTTAATATTTATACATATTCCCTAGTGAATAAGATTGTACACTGAGAAAATCTAGCTGTCTTGAATGCCCTATTTGTGGCAGAAAGGCAGCATTTTTAAAAGAAAAAAATAATACATCATACTCATATCTGAAATAGTATATATTTCTGTATTTTTATTCCAGAAATAGGGAAGAATATTACACCTTAAAGACTAATAACATTTTTATTCCAGCATGTTTTCATGGGCTAGAGCAGGGGATGAGACCCTGTCTAGAGTCCACTTCTTCAGATGTACTGAGGGGAATCTCAGTATGCCATCATTTTATTCATTTGCTTGTTTTGTTTCCATACCCTTTAGTAGATTTATATATATATGTATGTATTGTGTGTGTGTGTGTGCGTGTGTAAAATTTTTGTGCGTAAAATTTTTATCACTGTACATTTGTGTATATGATCTTTTCTTGGTTGCTCTTTTACAGGCTTTTCCAGATCTTTTTAAAAAGTCTTTTCTTTCCCTGACCTTTCTTTTATTTCTTCCAATTAACTCCTTCTAAGCCATAGAATTCTTTACACTTCCCACCAATCATGCTTGAGTTTACAGTCCCAGCCTATCACAGGCAAGCCAAGCAATAACCAATCCCCTTTAAGATCCGAGCCTTCAGTAAATAGGGTAATAGTTTTTCTAAACTGCTTTTTTCCCTTTTAAGCTCTCTGCCTCAACTATATTTCCCCTGGTTAATTTTAAAGTTTGGTATTTGAGCCTAGCTTTTGTCACAGTTAATACCTGCAATTAATAAGAAATCCTATGTTAATTATCTCAGCAAGACCTGGTACTCCCCACCCAGTACAGGCATTAACTAGTTTAGAGTGACTAGTGAATGGTCTCTGTATTTTTCTTGATAAGATTTAAATTTTATGTAATTATATTTCACCCTTTATTTCATATCCCCTTGACCCTGCAGTTTCCCCCCTATTTCCTGACATCAAATCACTATATAGTGAGGATCCACTTGTCCACTTTGTGAATACTTAAGCTGGAATAAAATTTAGTTGTCTTAAAGGTGCCATTAGACTCCTGTTAATCTTTGCTGCCAAAGGCTAGTATGCCTATTCCCACTGTGAGTTGTGTCCTCTGCACAGGTCATTACTGGCACTGAAAAAGCCTTCTAGGACTCATTGTTGCCCCACATGAAATATGAGCTGGAGAACATTCTTACTGTGTGTTCTCGGAGAAGAACACTATCATCCTGTCCTTTAGTGATTGTTGCCTGTCATTTCTCAACTTTCAACCGAAGAATGCTTGATAAGCTTTTAAGGAATTTCAGACATCCCTGGAACATAGTTTTAAAAACCATCAGCACAGAATTGGGCTGTATGCTATAATTATTATGTGACTTCCTCCTCTGCCAAGTAGTCAGAGGGCAAGCAGAAGGGGCTGCAGAGTGCTACTGTCCACCATTCACTTAGCTGCTGCCACTCACTCAAGCAGGTACTTTTGCCTGGGTGAGTGAGCAAACAACATCTAGGAACAGTAGCCTCATTAACTCGCTTGTCCTCTCTGTTTGTGCCACATCCACATCCAGATGGGTGCCTGCTAGACAGCATCTCCCTGACAGCTCCCCAAAGCTAGAACTAGCCCTAAGAAATCTCAGCAAGCAGAGATGATCTGCTTTCATTTGGTGAGTGCAGTGTGTAGCCTGGCTCTGCTATTAAGAAGATCTCTTTAGTTCCACAATGGAACAATTGTCTAGGAAGATTGTTGTCGAATTTCTTTTCTTATGATTTGACTAGGTGATCCTTTCTAGTTCTATGACTGTATGTTTGATATCTTCACTGCTAGATTATTTTAGAATTTTTGTTAATTTTTTTTCAGAGGAAGAAAAGGTTGCTTTTGTTAACTGGATAAATAAAGCTCTGCAAGATGACCCTGACTGTAAACACCTTCTCCCCATGGATCCAACAGATGATAGTCTTTTTAAGTCACTTGCTGATGGCATCCTCCTTTGGTATGTTTAGTGTTAAATTTTAAAAAGTGGTCATACAAAGGCCTGTAAAAATACCTGTGGCATGATCCAACCAAGATGAAGCACTTTTAACCCCCACACACCCCTTGATTTCAATGGGAGAGTTTCAGTCTCCCTTTGGAATCCACGGGACTTAAAAAAATGGCTCCATTTTTTAGGTCTGTGGATCATCCACCATACTCATTAGAAAATTTAGGAAGTCTAAATGATTTTGTACATGTGGTTTTCTGATCATATTTCTACCAGGAGAGATGATTATGGACTTTTTCCTTTTGTTGATATCTGATTTTTGTATCCATAAATGCACTGCAATATATTGTGTGTATTACCCACAAGGTCCTGACCTGAATAGCCCAGACTAGCCCGATCCCATGAGATCTCAGATGCTAAGGAGGGTCAGCCTTGGCTAGTACTTGGATGGGAGATCTCCAAGGAATACCAGGCTCATGATGCAAAGGCAGGCCATGGCAAACCACCTCTGAATGTCTCTTGCCTTGAAAACCCTATGAGGTCGCCATAAGTCAGCTGTGACTTGACAGCACTTTCCACCATCATTACCCACAAGCAGAGTATGAAGAACTAAGCATGTGACTAAAATTATCATGCTGTTGTTGATGTAGTAGCCATTTCCATGATTGCATACACAGATAAAAACATGTGAACAGATAATGCACATGCCTGACTCTCCATCATACATATTGCTGATTCTGTTTTAGGTAAATTGTTCATATATGATGTTAAAAATAATCCGTTACATCTACGAAACTATAAGCAGTACATTATGTTCATTCCTAAGTATCAACTGGCCTCAAATTTTACATTTTCTAAATTAGTATAATCAGAAGGATTATGTTTCTTTTGTCAATAAACAAAATTCTGTGACCAGCAATTCCAAATTATTCTGTCACAATATATTATATAAATTGGGCAAATACCATCTTCCTTTCAGATTCACTAAATTTCTTTCTGGAGGAATTTGGTTTTTTTGATGAGGGAATTTTGAAACATACAGTTCTCTAATCTGCAGTGGCAGAGCCTCAAAAGGATGGTAAAACATGCCATTTCTACACATCTGAAATGTCTTTGAGACTGCTATGTTCTATTATGTGCTGATGTGTGTACTTGTGTGTATATACTTGATTGCTTTCACTTGTTTACTCTTGGTTAGTTATCTCCATTGAAAAGCATTTTATCTGAGTTGATAGTGGTTGATTCAAAAGTTTTACCTGTGGAAATTAATTTGAGATGGTTAATTCAATCATGCAAGTCACCCACTGATGCTACAAACAATGAACACAGATGTGCAGATCACCTCTAAGTCCAGCGTCTTTATCTGTGTTCGCATGTGCAATTCTTTTGTTCCTATCAGTCAGACTTTTCTATGCATTCAGTTGTTTAGGTGTCTGAATATTTATGAAATCAAAACACCAATTAATCAGTATTTTACTTTTTTTTTTTCTGGCTTGGGTCCAAATTTCTGTGAATGGAAGGAGTCTGCAGAAAAATTTCCCTGCCTTTGTCTTCCCTTGCCAGTCCACAGAGCATCTGTGGCTGAGGGTTTGGAAACTGTCCAAAATTAAATGCCATGCAACGCAGAGTACCACGATAAGGAGAGGGAATCAGGCAAAATCATTGTATTGATGTTATAAGAGCAAGCTCAACTCAAGACTTGCTCCCTCTATGCAAGGGGGAAATTTCACCTGATTCCCCTTTCTTCCTATATACCCCCATACCATATTTCAGGATGGTCCTCCAACCATAGTTTAAGATTTTTGAGGGGTGTGGGCTACTGAAGGAAAGCAGGGAAGATGCACTTCTATGAACTTTTTTCATCCACAGAAGTTTGGATCCAGCCCTCCAGCACATTCACTACTCGTGTGTGTGTTTCTGTAGTTTGTTTTTGCAATGTGGTTAAGTGGTAAATAGTTTAGTATTATTAGAATCTTTTAAATCTAATCAAAATATAGGAACATTGATTTTCTCATATACATGAACCTGATAATCATTTTCAGAACAGGAAACTAAATGTTCACCTTTATTCCCCCAGCAAAATGATAAATTTATCCCAACCAGATACAATTGACGAGAGAGTAATTAATAAGAAGAAGCTTACTCCATTTACTATCTCAGTAAGTATCATACTTCTCCAAACAAAAATCTACCTTAAAAGGCAGTCCTGAGGGTAAACAACTTAAGATTTGAAACATTCGTTGAATCTTAAAAATGTCAAAGCAATAAGATAATTGCAACAATTCAGTTCCTGGTTACTTATATGTTCCTATATTGTTCCTGTGTTGTTCCAGTTTGGTGTAGTGGTTAAGTGTGCAGACTCTAACCTTGGAGAACCGGGTTTGATTTCCCACTCCTCCACTTGCACCTGGCTGGATGACCTTGGGCAAGCCGTAGTTCTGATAAGAGCTGTTCTTGAAAGAGCAGTTTCTGTCAAGAGCTCTCTCAGCCCCACCTACCTCACAGGGTGTCTGTTGTGGGGAGGGGAAGGGAAAGGAGTTTGTAAGCCGCTCTGAGACACCTTTGGGTAGTGAAGGGTGGGGTATAAATCCAATCTCTTCTTCTTCTTCCTTGAAATCCATATGTAAACAGAATTGATTGAATCTTAAATTATGGATAATCTGTTTCTGGGACTCTTTTTGCAAAGGTACTGTAGGTCTGTTTCTTATTTTCAGTATGCAGTTTGACACACATTGCTCTAGTAGCACTTTTGTGATTTGTATCTCGAGAAGTCTTCCATCTCCCAAATAAACCATTCTTAGCCTTGGTAACTGCAGTAACCATCTTTTTCACATTCAGGTGGAAAGAATACAGTGGCAGTTATCATATGCAAAATTATGGCTATTCCATTTATTCCTATAGCCTGTAGTCTGTTTCCT